TAAAATATGCCTACTTATACGAACCAGTATCGCAATTTACCATCACATTTTCCTCTTATTTTACCTTCCTGCTTAAAGTAATGCCGCGCTCTACGATTAAAGATTCTCTTGTACGTGATGTACGAAGGCATTCATGTCATGATCGAGGAAAGGCACTGATGGCGCGCATAGAAAATCCTGACGTGGTGACACGCTGTAAGCTGAACGCTAAAACGTTCCAATTATGGAAGTAGTTAAATGTAAAAATACCTTGTAAAGTAATGTAAAATGGATTGGTTTTAAAATTAAGGTCGTGAGGTTTAAGAAAATTGTAATTATATTCTTATTTTCACACAACTAGTAACAAAAGCTCGCCCAAAAATTCACTGAAATTGCGTAGTTTGTATCCGGTTCTCGAAAAAATGACAACACGACTTTCGATGTTGTCCAAGTATTCACGATACCCAAAATAATCTGTTTGTTACATTATATTTTTAGCTAAAACCGTCCAGTAAACATTGGCCTTCTTTAAGCTTAGCCAAAAAGGATAAGCCCAGATCATTACAAAAGGGAACGCAGCTATTTCCAAAAAGGTATAATTGTGGACAAAAATTTAATAAAATCACCCAACGCTCGCAGCTCCATGAAAATATTGTTTGGTATTTATTATTATTTTTTTCTTAAGTCCCTTTCTCGTCAGAAAAGATAAGAGAAGCGATGAAAGCTCAAAAAGGTCGCGATCACAAAGGACGAGGGAATAATGACGTAAATTTTTGGCATAATTTTAATTAAAGGCTAATTTGTGACATTCACAAACCGGAAAATTACCCTTTGTAGGTGAAATTTTTCACTGGAAAAAGATGCGTAAATTACTTACTAAGACATGTGAAGATATATTAGTATGTATATGGTAACACGTTCGTAAAAAGAACAAAAGATTCACACATCACAGTGTAATTAAAAATGTATTTCTTTATAATGAAAAGGTTTCAGACTGCGTCGTGTTTTTTTTAGTGTTACATATGAGAATGGTAGATGAGCGAGTGGTCCAGTATTTGTACAGACGCTGAATAAAAGGATGACTAGACAGAAACAGTTATGCATAATGAATACAACTTTTATTATTTTTGAAACTATTACTGCGTCGTTTTGTAATTTAAAAAGGAGTACGTTAGAAAATAACTAGCACAGACACATAACGCTTTTTATAGGTTAGTAAAGAGAAAGACTTACAGTACAGATAACATATAACATCACGCCTTTTATACCCGAAGGGGTAGGCAGAGGTACAAGTTACTGCACTTAATACCACTGTACATTGAACACCCACTTTTCACTGTGTAGTAGGTAATAAGGGGCGAGCCTATTGCCATACCATTTACCACAATTTCAGACTCCGTGCTGTGTCTGAGATTTTCTAAAACCCATTCCCGGCTTGCGGGAATGGAACTCGAAATCCCTTGCCCAGCTGTTGTACTTGCGACCACTCGACCAACGAGGCAGCTACAGTACCAATTATAATCAAAGAACCATTATAATCAAAATAAAATCAAGAACCATTATAATCAAAGTCAAATCTAGGAGTCGTATCTATAGTTTTTATTAATGCACTCTCTAATAAAACTTGTCTTATTTGAACAATAAAGCATATACGTGGTTAACCCAAATGCTTATTCATAGCCTACAGTACTGCCAGCTAGCAGGCTATCCGCAGTGTTTGACCTTAATCCGCAGCATGAAAATTTTAATGACAGCACTTACGAGAAGGTATGTGTATACAGGATGTAAATTACAACGTCACATAAACTTAAATCATGATTTTAAACCTCATCTGTTCTTTATTATTCCCAAACAACTGTTATTGTCACTTCTTTTTCTGTTCCTAGAATCTGTACATCAGAAAACGACTATTATGTAGTATTTGGTATCTGGTATCTGAAAGTGAAACCTACTTTATAATGGGATCAAAAGTTCTGAAACTAGGTAGCGATTTACTTTAAGTTGCAAATTACTATGTTCTTTCCACCCTGTACGTACATGTCCTGTATACCCCTTAATGTAAAGATTAAAACATATTAGCAGTAGAGACACGTATCAGAGCTGTTTTTTGCCGCCTAATGTAAGTCTTTAGTCACAAGTCGTTACGTCAGACGCGTGCGTAGCTGTTACGTTATCTAAGCAACATTTTAAGACGCCCTAATTTCCGCGATAAACCAAGGGTTATCTCTGGATTATCTCTAAAAACACCTCACAATACAGGATTGAGAAAGAAAATCCGCTCGAGTAAATAAGGAAAGATCTTGAAAACTGTGTCTGTGACATGTTTTTTCTTTCATTTGCTTGTGCGATGATCGTTGAGACAAGTGCTCCCATGAGAGGCACTGAGCACATTCTCCTATATTGGAGTTACATCCTCGTCTTATTTGTTTATCGATTTTACCCGATTAAGGAAGGGGTCAATTCTTGAACGGCTCCATTTATTGAGTTAGGTACTCGTGTTTATTCATCCAGTCGAAATAAAGAGGGTCGAATAAAATTTGAGTAAACAGGAGCCGACGAACTAGAATGCTATCGGCACGTATTTCGGAGTTACTTGATACGCTCCCGTAGCTTTTGACCTGTATCTGCTCAATGTATATGTATAGGATTGGAATTTGTTTAGCGTTTGTTGTCGTGCCATTTGGATGTATTGAGTTATAAATGAAAATTCCTTTTTAAAGTTCGTGTTAATACAAATGTTTGTATTTTGTCGTGTTGAATTGATATGTAATAAAATATAATGACTTTAAAAAGTTTCTATGACACATTGAATTTCTAAACAGTTTTGCAACGTACTACCAGATCGCATGGCAAGTTGAGGAAAGCTTTCCAGAAAACTGGATTTTAAGTACGTGCTGTGTACTTAAACCTTTGCTTTTTAAAAAAGTACTAAATTATTTAGCTGTTAACCTAAAGCTGGTATAAATTAAAATGATGCAAAATAAAACTCAACACTAAATAACACGTAAAACGTATTTATTTACAAACCATATTTACAATGATCTAAAGTGTATTCACAGATTTATTTTACTAAAACTTATTCACTATTATTTTCAGCCGCGTTAATGTTATTTTTCGGTACAATTACATATTTCTTAGGAAAACAACATCAATCAAATGTTTTTATTATTATTTCGGGTGAATATATAAAATGTGAGACTATTTACAATATTCTAGTTTATGATGTAAATGGCTGATTTTGTTACAAATTGAGGCAGTTTGTTACATTTATTTCTTACACAACCAAGATAATAGAATTAGTAACGAAGAATAGAACGGATAGGTTTAATGATATAGAGGTAATATCAGTAACACACTAGCCCTCCTTAGAGAGGTATAATTGTTGACATAATTTGTCGAATATCAACGTCAATTAACATTCGATTAAAGGCAAGGATGCACAACAATTTCACGTTGGGTGAAATAGCGTGACGTTGCTGGACTTTGGTCGACATGTCGTGCAACATCAACGTCACTGTGGACATAAACCGCGCATTATCGTCGCCTTATAATTATGTTGGGCGAAATCGGCAGGCTTCACTTGAAATGTTGCCGATACATGTCGTGGGACATTTGTCCCCTAGTGTATCCTTGGCTTTATTCTCTATTCGCTTTTTAAATTAGTTTTTAAATACCATTTGTCCAGGAAACTGACAACAAAAATCTCGTAGCCTCTTCGTAGCACTGCGTAGTCACTTCGTAGTAAGTGCTACGCTTTCTTCGTAGCAAATGCTACAATGTCGTTTTGTATCTAGTTAGCTAGCTTTTTAGTTGTATCTATAGTATAAACTGCCTCAAAGAGCTTTATCCTTCATAAATTTACTAAGTAAAAGTTAACATTAATATCCTCATTTCACTATAAATATATTTACAAGCTCAAAGTCAAAAAGATCACAAAACATGGAAATAATCAATTTGAATGTGATTTCCAAGTAATTTACATGTTTATCTGTAGATTTTTCTATTTTTAATTACTATGATGTTGAAATTATTAAGTTACATTAAAATTACTTCGATTGTACTATAAATTAACAAAAAAATAAATAAACAAGGAGGTAATAAAAATAGAAATATTAAATCTGAAAATAAAGTTTATTGACACAAAAGAAAATGTATTAAAATCACAGAGTTTTACGCATTCAATAAAATAGAAGATAGTTAGTTATTTAATAAAGTATGAACTAAAAAAAATATTTAATTACATGATAATTAAAGCTCGTAAATTAAATTACGTAATTTCAAAATAAAAAACGATTTTTTAACTGAAATTACAAATAGGTTTTAATGTTACTTATACATATTTACCAAGGTGTACCTAAGGGTACGACATACCATATCGGAACTTAATACGTTGTTAACTTAAAATAATTATGGTTGTGAGTTTGTTTTTACGTCGCTTAACAAAACTCTAAAAAATATAGGTACTTTGTTTTTATAGAGAAATGCTCTACTAGTTTCGAACCACAGAGGGGTTCTTCCTTAAGCGTGCGCGGCGACGTCGCCGCGACCGCGCACGCTGCTCATGAGTTTTTACTTAATATAGGTACTTAAAAAAAATAATTTTGATGTCCTACTAATTCGTAAAGTGCCTTCGCACTAGCGTTTGTCCAGCGTAGGTGTTCGATAAACTTATGCGCCGCGCAAATACTGCGCAGGTGTATCTTTACTTACTTATACTTACGGTCTTACTCAAATTAACGTAATTAATAAAGTTTGATAGTACGATGACCTATTAAGTCGATCTCTTAAATTAGAAAATAATATATAAATCAATTGCCATTTTTGATACTTAGTTATAAGCATAAGTAACATTACATTTTAAAATAATTAAGAAAACAATCAAATTTTAACAAAGAGAGATACTTATCATCATAATTCGTTTCTTTATACGTCAGTTAGACTTAATACTAATTAAAAATTCTATATTTAAAATGTTTGTGCTGTGCATTTCATGCAACATTACCAACATTTACTAGAGCTGGTCATCTCGTTACAAATCTTCTAATACAGTAATTGTTCCACAAAAATCTGATATACTTTAAATAATTAGTCGAAGTATGTTGAGACATAAGTAAAATGTACAGCATGATTGATGTGAGGAATGATTTCAATTGACTTCTGATTGAAAGAAGGATGAGCAGTGGTATAGGTGACAGTCTCTGCGAGTCGCTCTGCATGGCTGCCGGCCGCTCTCCACTCACCACATGCACCACAACCGACGCCGAATCTATCAAAAAAAATAAACAGTTACTTTTCCACTGACATAAACTTTTTTAGGAAAACGAAATGCAACAAAAACGTCCCACAGCGGAAATTAAATCATACGTCAAAGATTTATTTATCCAAAAAAGGTATTTCAAAACCAGTGATAGCCCCTGACTTCCTATTTAAATGCCAACTGCGGTGCGATTTCGAACCTTATCTTAAAAAGAAAATTTCGTAAAATATATTAATCGCGTGTAAGGAATACAAATGGACGATAAGAACGCTGAGTATACAGTGAATTTGAACACGTTGATTCAGTACTTGAAGGGGAAGGCGTGGAAAAAGATAAATGGTTTTTACACAGCCACGGACATAGATATAGTGAAGTATGTTGAGTGAAAAATGTAGGTACGCCATAAAAGAACCGATGGACGGCCGCTGCGGCATGTATATTTTTTATAACACCCGCATGTCCCACGAGGGCAAAATAATAAAAGAAACTGTCTAAAGTAGCTTAACTGTAAAACCACTGTAAAAATAACTGAATGCAGAACAAAGGCAAGCGATTAGCTACTCCACTTGGCGGCCTTCGTTAAGAATTTTTTGTTGCTAATTAAACCAACTCATATTTCTGGCTTTATAAAATTTACGAAAACTGGGCAAAAACTTAAAATGGTGAAACAATTTTATGTTATTTATGCCTTTTTATACGCTAGTTTACTGGTGAAAATGAGGGTAATAAATTATGGTTGTTTACCGGAGCTGCTCGGCGCGCAGGTGTAGTTGCCGGAGTCTCTCGGTGATGCTCGTGCAATGAGCAAGCGACTAGTTCGCGTGCGCTGTTCTGTTTCTACGCTGATACCACCACGCTGAGCGTAGTTCACTACGTTTGATCCTCGATACCAGTAGATGAAACTGTACAAAACATCTTATATGAAACAAAGCAATCATTACAATAGTAACATGCTAATACAATATACTGTCATTTCTTAACTAAACAAGTTTTCGAAATTCATGTTGAGTTTATTTTTCCAGTCACACAAGCGCCTGTCAGCAAATAGTTGTGCACGGATTGTCTTGCTTGAAAAACATCGTCGCTTGACTCCCAACATGGCAAGTCACACAGGCGCTGTCTGTATATTGAGTCAACTCCCCGCCGATTACTTGAGAGGAACGCTTTATATTCGGTTCATATTGAAGGCATAAGTGAGCGGCAAGTGAAGCAGTTTTGAGCCGAGTTTAAAGTAATAATGTTTGCTCTGTCTGCGCGATATTTCATACATAAAGTTGCCTAACTTTAGAACATTTTTGCTCCACAAAATTTTAGCTTCAACGAAGAAAATTGCTTACCTCGGTGGATCTGGAGCATGTCTGGCGATGCAAGTGAGATTGATGTCAGAACCTGCTCTCACAAATAGTTCTGGCCCGGAGAGTATTTCTGCTTTTGATACTGCAACAAACGAGTATCTGTAGTTGGGATGCATATAAAATTATTAACTCGTGGAATGGAGCTGAGCTAGTGTTCGAAAGTTTCTCGATGTCAATTTATATAGTGCTCCCGACGTCAAACGTTTACTTAGAGAAATGGCTGGCCGTCTCGACGACGCTAATTGCGTCTAACAATTAAACAAGTCTACATTTCGTCTCATTTACAATTGGATGAGGAGAAAGTTAAAGTTGTTAATTAAAGTACAAAGTTGAGATGAACAAATAAATCTAATCATTTATGCAAATATTAGTTACTCAAACTGTTACTGTAACTTCCATCTTAATTCGTTTCCGGTGACGAGCATTCAGGGTTTAGGTAGGGAAAATTTCTGGTTACCCCACCACGGTAGACTAACAAATGATTCGATCTTATGACCCAGCGCGCAGTTAACTTAACCGTTAACCTACAGCCTCTAATAAAACAGGGTTGTGTAAAACTCCTTTCTTTTCTTTATTCTATTGGGGTTGAATTTTAAAATAAGTTTTTATGGCCTTTATAGCCTCCTGAGAGGTATTGCGAATTTTTTGATACCGTGCAAATTCTTTAGGTCTTTGATTCGAAGTAAAATAAAACATAACATAACATAACATCACGCCTTTTATCCCCGAAGGGGTAGGCACAGGTGCACATTCTACAATGTAACACCCACTTTTCACTATTTATGTTATAAGTCCCATGTAATAGGGGGTGAGCCTATTGCCATTTACCGGGCACATTTCCAGACTCTGTGCTACGACTGAGATTTTTTTTTAAAACCCAGTAATACTTTGCCCGACCCGAGAATCGAACCCGAGACCCCTTGCCTGGCAGTTGCACTTGCGACCACTCGGACAACGAGACAGTAAAATAAAAATAAAAGAGAATTCATGGTATGTGGTAGTTTAACATATTGATATAAATACTTACCAACAACAGTTAGTCTAAATGAGAGACTGATTTTGGGCTCAGTAGAGACTTGACACTCATAGGAGCCAGAGTCTCGTGGTTGTGCTGGTGCAACTCTCAAGGTCCATTCGTCAGAATTGTCTGTGTGCAGTGCTGCGAAGCGAGCGTCACTGCTGTACGTATGAACACCCACTGTGAGGATATGAAGGTCACGTTTACGTATCCATGATACCTGAGAACAAAAGTGTTGAATTATTTTATGTGAATGTAAACTCTAAAATTATGAAGAATAAAGTTTGATATTATTTGCTACTGTTTATGTTATGTATATTATAATATCGTACCGAAAATTCCCAAAGTTTGGTCATACAAAACTAGGCTCTAAATACAGGAAATAAGGTTTTTAATGATGTTAGTGGAGAACTTGAGGATTGATCATTTTACCTTCATAAGTTTAATGGTTTGTTTAAAGTTTGTAGGGTAGGATTTTTTTATACTACGACAGTGGCAAAAAATCACACGGCCCACCTGATGGTAAGTGGTTACCGTGGCATATGTACGCCTGCAACACTTGGGGCATTACATGCGTCTCGTTTTGTTGGTTAGGATACAGGGTTACTTGTTGTTTTTAATGAACAGTTCACTGTTAATGACACATTTCTCATTTTGTAACGTTAAAAATATTATTAGGTCATAAAAAATATTCTGATGTTCTCAAAACACTGGCTTACAACATTGAATTGAAACTAAGCCCGGAACTTTGAAGAGTATCAATAAATTTTGTGATACTCTTACACACATGAAGCTCATATTTTATTGAAGATCCCTTCAATTTGTTACACCCCTTTCTTATAAAATATTCATTCTTGAGTAATGTTCCTAGATGGGCACTATGTCATATTTGATGGATATTTAATAATAAAGGACAAGAACTGCTTATTGTGATATTTTTACTTTAACTTTTAAAATACGTTACTTTAACTTTTAACGTACGTACGTACAAACAATTTCGGGTTTCTTATATTCCTCTATTCTACTCACTCGCAGAATAACTGCTAATACATATCTACAACATCAATATGACAAAAGTTAAAAATGCGATGAAATGGCCACATTTTCTTTTACAATTACTTCAAGTTAATACCATTAAAATGGGTCATCTATTTTTATACAATAACATCAAAAAGTTTCAAACAGATAAGGAATTGTAATTGTACAGTATCTATTTTTAAACAACTTTCCTTTCAAACAATACTCTTTAACGAACTAAAACTTCAATAAAAGCAGTAAAAATATAACTCAGAGCCTCAAGCCGTTCTATTGTTACATTTTAATTAAACCGTGGCAAGAAACATTAGTACATTAACACTTTCAGTCGCCACAACCCGACCTCCATTATTAATGAGGCTTTGTGTTAGACAAGCGTTAAATTATAACAACCTATTTGAACTGAACCTCTACCATGAGTCTAAAACAATAGTATTTGTCGATACTCGATAGTGATGACCTAAATTTTTTGTATGCAGATTTCATAGCGCCTCTAGTGGTCACTTATGAAACTAAAATTTAGCATACAAAAATTTTACGTCGTCGCTATCGAAATCGACAAACACTATTCTTCTAGAGCCATGGAAATTTTTGTATGCGAAAGTATTAGCGCCTCTAGCGGTTATTTACTTAACTAAATTTTGGCATAAAAAATACGTCGTCACTATCGAATTTCGACAAATTAATATTATTGCCTTAAACCTATGGTAGAGGTACCTAGTGTTCTAAAATCACACATCTCTTTGAGGATAGCTGAGTGGACCATGTAGTTTCATGTTAGTTCCAGTGTTAGCCAACATGTAGGGCTAGGCTTTAAACAATGGCGGCTAGTTTAGTCTTCAATTAAATGCAAAACTACTCAGGCACACAGGGGACCCATAGCGATACAACTACGTAACTTCCCCTTGTTCTAACTTGGCAAGAAACTATAGAACGCAACGCCAAATGAAATACAAACTTGTATTGCAATCAGGTAGGAGTGGAGCCAATTGGAGAATTTTATAACTAGTTTTCTTGTTGAAATACAAAGTACTTTTATCTAAATAATTAGGTCAAAGTTATATTTTTTTCTTTTCTAACTTTTAAACCGATTGTCGATATACGAAGATATAACTAAGATGAAACATTTGTAAAATATAGGTACTAAGCTAATTGATGTTAATGTTAGTAAGTTTAAACAGCAATGAAAGCTAATTTTGTTATATTTAGCTTATAAGTTTATATTTTATACGTAACTAGCAAACCCGGCGAACTCCGGTTTGCCACCAGATTGCTTCGTTTTATGTAACATTTCGTTTGGTGATTAAAATTCACTTGTTTGCAGAAATAAATTCACTTGTTTCACTTGTTTCACTTGTATTAAAAGTGAATTTTCTATGCTATAAACCTCACGGAGCCCGAGACCTTTCCAACGAATGCAAAACCGTGGAAATCAGTTCCTGCGTTCTGGAGTTATAGCGTCAGGAAGAAAAACCCGACTTATTTTAATATAGTATATAGAAAACAATTCGAGATTCGCTGATTTACTGAATGACGAAATTTGGATTTCCAAATGTTTATGTTTTCCAAAACGTTATTACCTATTGTATTAATTCTCGTACTCCGTCAATTTTGCAATACTTCGCCTTTGAATTAATTAGTGAAATGATTGTGAGATAATTAAATTTAATTAAACTTTCTCGACGTTTCCCTCGAGTACAAATGGAAATTTATTGTCAACATTTCCCGAAAACATCCATCAGAACTGATTGTTGATGCAGTTAATAGATAAAGTCAATATTTTTGATGTTAATAAGCGTGAATTTAGTAATATCTATGTTTTGGTCTTGTTTTATCATATTGTAGTAATTATAATTTTTGTTGTCTTTATCAAAAGTCACAATAATAATATTCGGTGGATGTGAGAAAGGACCTCGATCTTATTACTTGGAACGACGTTTGGCGTTCATAGGATTTTTTTCGTAACACAGCAAAAACTATACTTTAATGGAAATCGAGACTGTTATAAAACGTGTAACTAATGCTAACTGTTTCATTAACGTGATAACGCGACAATAGATAGATACCAAACTATTATTAACATTGTTGAACGAAATTTTCTATAAGTTACAAATTCAGACATTGAAATTAAGACCTTATACATATAGGTAGTAAGATACAAAACAGGCATTACACAATTACCGTATATATAACTATATGGTTTCAAACGAATACAATTTTGTGGCAATCTCCGAAGTCTGAAACTTGACACAAATTGTCGGATCAAAATTTAATTAATGCTTTGGTTCGCCAATCTGCGTATTCAATGACATCTTTTGTTCCTAAAATTTCGTACACAAAATACTTTCTCATTATCAGAGTTTCGTAAAAGCTTTTGTATTGTTCAATGTAGCGAATAGACGCGGTCTGTAAACCAATGATATTCATTTGTTTTTGGTCTCGTCTGCGAATGACAGGATTTGAGGTTTAGCGATTAGATGCTCTATATACAAAAGAATACAGATAAATGCCAAGGACTGCAAAGGATTTTAGAGTTCAATTAGTGTTATTAAAAATTGTGTTATAAAAGTTTTTCTAGAAGTACCTAATCATGGTTTTTAATGTATCTTTTGTGTAAATAAATGAGCCATACACAGTTACGATAAAGTTTATTTATTTAGGTACAACTTACTAGACCACCATAAAATCACTGCATCATAAGAATATTTCAATCTCTCAAATAATAAATTCGTTGTAATTCTAACATTCAAAATCAGTAGGTATTAGCAGCGTAAGCCAACGCTTAATAAATCTCAACAAAGGGACTTATCCCAAATTAGAGTAATTTTAAACCGATTTTCGTTACTTGTCACGTTCTAAATCCAATATTACTGGGTAATTCGTCTTGATCCTATCCCCAAGGGATATATATCAGCCCTTTTTAACAGCCTATGCACATAAATTCAGTTTTATTTCACATAGCGCGGGACACTCACGTAAGTTGGCTACTCGACTTTTATAGTTGGCATTGAGCGACGTGACGGTACCAACCTCTCCTCTACACTTTTATATCACTCTCAGATTTTTTCTAAGTATATTTTCTTAACCTTTCCACCTAAATAACCTTTTCATATTTTATATAGCGATGGATACGAAACAATACTTTCAAGACGTTATCAGTGAAGCAACCCACGCGTAATATATGTTTACCATAAAATATATCGATAAATAATTCATTCACAAATATCATTTTATCAAAAGCCTTCGATATGTGATGGTTATATTGATACAGTTCACGTAATGTATACCTATTCTTCTTCCTTAATACATTCTTCTAACTTTGATTCGTAATGTAAATCTCGATTCCCAAAGGCTGAGTAAGGGGATCTAACAAATTGTTCACATATCATTGATTTCCCTGTTGTCTGTAATCAGGTGAGAATTCCTTGAAAAGAGTACAAATCTGCTGATGTAGGCGGCTTTGGGTAATTTGTCTGTTGGGAAATTCTCTAAAGATTTCTTATTCTGAGTTATTTTGTGTGTCGATGTTGTGTAGAAATATTTTCTCTTCTTTGAATAAATGTTTTAGTTATTTCGTTGTATTGTATTGTTTTCACAAAAACGATGTAATCGTGTTTAAATAAGTGGATGAACACGAAAGAGCGAAATTTTCACTACTTAACGAATCACGACAAAAATATATACTATACTTACGTTTCAGTAAATATTCCATTCCGAAAAGCATTTTAATGATCCATAAGTACGTTGTAATAAAAGTTAATTTACGAAACTCACTTTCTCGTGTTCGTGTAAAACAGTAACACCTTTTAATCGGCTATAAATATTTTATAAACAATTTAAGCGTAAGCTTCGCAACCCTTCGCCGGTAAAAATATATTATAAGCTATTCTGCCGTTCCGTTCCGAATTTAAAAAACACCAACAACCCTCCCTAATCTGCGTATTATGAACCTTAAAATCCGATGAACAATAAAAAGCGTTATCGAATAACTGGTATTCCATTGTGACACACATTCATAAATGGCGTGGCCGATATTAAGCGGGCTAAATCGTTATACAGTACGTATTTTATTTTTACAAAATAAAACAAAATCGCCGTTGCGGCTGGCATTGTTCCAAAATGTGTGGCTTCGTGGGCCTCGACCCAATTCTCTTTGCTTTATTCGACGGCGACGTTCACGCGACA